CCTCCTCCTCCTCCTCCTCCCATCTTCCTCGTCCTCGTCTCTGTCCTCGTCCTCCTCCTCCTTTGATGCCTACCCCCCCTGAGCTTCTCTGAGACCGCCAGGATGATGCACGACCCCTGGACGCAAAAGTAGGACAGCTTCACCGCGCCACATTTCGGCGCCAGGCCCGCCGCACTCGCCAGTTCAGCCCGCCGCCGCCCCGCGGAGGGCAGCAGCGCAGCCCGCCCGGTCTCGCGCCAGCAGCCGCAGGTGGTGCACAGCGGCCCTCCCGTGCCGGCCTCCTGTCTGGACGGCCAATGGGAGAACGGACCGCGGCGCGCGGCCAGCTGTATAGCGGCGTCGCTGATCGCCTTCCGCGTATGCGTTTACGGTTCCGTCCCTCTGGGCCGCTGCCGCGTCGCCATGCACGGCGTACCTGACGGTGGCGTCCGCGAACTGGCGCGGGCATCCCGGCGCCTGCGTCTCGAGGTCCAGAATGGCCTCTTCACGCTCGATCTGCAAGGGCGCCCCACACCCGCTGCATGGCCCTGCGGGCGGATCAAGCGTCGTGCCTCTCGCGTCGCATTGCGAGCAGCGCCATTTCCAGCGGTCCCACGCTGGGGCGGGAACTTGACGCGCGGCGTGGTTGTCGCCCTACCTGGGGCGGGAACTTGACAGCTCAGCTGCGCGCCACCACGCGGCCGCCGCGCGCGTGCGCCTGTAGGCATGGCGCGCTTTGGTGAAGCGGCAGTCTGCACTGCGCCCGGTTGCAGGGCGTCAGCGGGTCCAAGCGGGGCAGGCGCTGGTAGGCCTCCAAGACCGCCTCGTCGTAGGCGGCGGCCGCGGCCCTGGTGCGATCGGGTGGAGAAGAGCGCAGCAGGTGCGTGTTTTCCCTGCCCCGCAATGTCGCAGCATGAGCGCCCCGGCCTGCGTCGCGTCCACGTAGCCTCGCAGCTGCGCCCGTCCTCCTCCGCGGGCAGGTCGCGCGGCTACGGTGTCTCCAGCGGCGCCCCCGCCAGCGTGAATCCTGCAGGGCGCCGGGAAGGCCCCAAGCCTGCTGGGCACTGCGAGCGGGCAAACCACGCCTGCACTCCACGGCTCCAGCTCCAGGCCGACGCGCCCAAGTGCCTCCTGCGCCGCGGGGGGGCACCTGCGCAGCAAGTCGGGGTAGGCCAAGACGCGCGCGTCCTTGGCTGACAGCCCCGCAGCCGTAGCCGTCGCGCGCAAGTCGTGTTCCAGCTGTTTCATCGCCAGCTTCGCTGCGCAAGCGTACAGAAGCGGGGCCAGCGGGTCCCCCTGGCCCACTCCGCGGGTAGCGCTCAGATCGCGAAATGTCCCGCGGCCATCCCAGTAGAGGTACTTGGAAGTCCGTCTGCAGAAGAGCTCGGCGTAAAGGAGTAGCTCCAGCGCTAACTCCTCCAGCTGGCGCAAGCAGTCCGTGCGCCGGACCGACCCGTTGGCGCTCCAGGCGTCCAGGGTCACCAGGACGAGGTCAGGTCGCGCCTCCGTCAGGGCCCGCGCAGCGTGTGCCAGGACCTCCGTGCCTGCCGCCATCCCGATGGCAAACTGCCGTCTGCCCAGCTTCTCCGCCAGCTGCTCCTTGCGCGGCTGAACCGGCGCCCTGCCCACCAAGCGGCGGAGGATGTTTGGCGCGGCGATGGGGCGCGCGCCGCCCTCTGGTTTCCGGGCGGGGTGAGCCTGGATAGGGCCATCGCAGCCGCCGCGCTCTCAGAGACGCGGCCCAGTGAGATGCGGCACAAACGCCACAAAGGAGGCCGGTACGAACACTGTCGGCCAGAACCGCCCGCCAGTGCTCGTACCGGCCTCCTTCGGCCGCTGCTGCGCTTCCTCTGGGGCTGGTGCGCAGGGCCTTCTTCGGCGCCCTGTGGCTCAGTGCCGGCGGGGTGTCTGGCGGCTGCGGCGCGCAAGTGGCACGAAGTGCCAGAGCCCAGTATCCCGGGGATGGAAAAAAAAACGCCATAACCGCAGACTTTTGGCGCTCCGCGCGGATTTCTTGGAGCCGCGTTGGACCTTCCTCCCTGGCGCCCGGAACGCGCCAGGGGCAGCACCAACGCCGCCGGGGGGGCCCAGGCGCGGAACCAAGAAATCCGAGCAGAGCGCCCAAAGTTTATGTTCAGTGTTTTTGTCTTCTTCGAAAGTGGCACAACGTGTCAGAGTCCAGCGTGCAGGCGGTCCCGAGGAAGCATCCACACAAAGGGAAACGATCTCTACTACCGCAGCATCACATGCTGGGGGCCGGGTGCCCTCAGTGATGTCAGAGGCAGAAGCCAGGGCGCTTACGTCGTCGGCCTGCCCGAGACACACTCTGGGAACAGAAGCACGGATGGAAAGCCATTGTTTCTCCCCCGGTGGCCATCAGGAAAGATCAGAAAGCTGGAGGTGCTGTCACGCGGCTTAAGAGGCACATCAAGATTCATTACTCCGCAGACTTCTGCTCGCCCAAAAACAGCTCGGACCAGGTCATCTTGTTGGAGACTGGCTGGAGGAGGCCATGTCGACTTCTGGGATTCTGCACCGGTGGCGGTGGAGCCCACTGGAAGCATCAGCTTGATTTTCGCGGCACTCTTACCTCGTGCCTGGTAAGAAGCTTTTCCTCGTCGTCGTCGTCGTCGTCGTCGTCGTCGTCGTCGTCGTCGTCGTCGTCGTCCTCGTCGTCGTCCTCGTCGTCCTCGCCGGCCTCGTTCTCGTAGTTTTTGTTCTCGTCGTCCTCGTCGTCGTCGTCGTCGTCGTCGTCGTCGTCGTCGTCGTCGTCGTCGTCGTCGTCGTCGTCATCCCGTTCGTCCTCGTCTTTTTCTCTCGTCCTCGTCCTCGTCCTCGTCCTCGTCCTCGTCCTCCTCCTCGTCCTCCTCCTCGCCCGCGGCGGCGGCCCGGCCCGCGGCGAGCAGAGGCCAGTGGCGCCTGCGGCCCCCGCGCGCCGTCGGGCCGCCGCGCCCGCGTTCCCCGCGGCGCGGGAGGGGCCCGCCGCCCGCGCGCGGGCGGGGCGCTGCGGGCAGGCGCCCGGGGGGCTGGCCTGCGGCGGCTCCGCCAGCGCGGCCAGGGGGGCCCCCGAGCTCAGCCTCTCGGGGGGGGTGCTGCCAGAAGTGCCCCCGTCCCTTGTGGTCCTCCTCCTCCTCCTCCTCCTCCTCCTCCTCCTCCTCCTCCTTGCAACCTCCTACTCTCCTCCTCCTCCTCCTCATCCTCCTCCTCCTCCTCCTCCTCCTCCTCCTCCTCCTCCTCTCCCCTCCTCCCCTCCCCCCCGTCCTCCTCGTCCTCCTCCTCGTCCCCTCGTTCTCGTGCTCCTCCTCCTCCTCATCTCCTCGTCCTCTTCTCCCCCCCCCCTGGTCCTCTCGTCCTGCTCGTCCCTCATCCTCCTCCTCCCTCCTCCTCCTCCTCCTGGTCCTCCTGGTCCTCCTGGTCCTCCTCCTCCTCCTCCTCCTCCTCCTCCTCCTCGCCGTCACCGTCCTCCTCGTCCCCCTCCTCCTTGTCCTCCTCGTCCTCTTCGCCTTCCTCGTCCTCCTCCTCTTCCTACTGCTCCTCCTCTTCCACCTCCTCCTCCCTCTCCTCCGCCTCGTCATCCTCGTCCTCCTCACTTCTCCTTTACGGGTGTTGCCAGAGGTGAGCCTAGCCCAAGGTGTCCCCAGGATTTCAGGATTTCCAAGAAGGCCCTCACGGCCTCCAGAGCACCCCCTCGCGAGTCCCAGAGGGACCTGTAGGGGCTCCAAGATGGAGCGAGAAGCTTGGGGCACCTTGGGCCAGGGGTACCTTCTAGCAACCCCCATGTTCGGGGGGGGGGGTCGGGTCGGAGGCAAGGGGAGGTTGGCGAGAATCAGCTCACGGAGCTGGGTCCACACGGCGCCTCCCGGCGCCAGGAGAGGCGCAAAAGCAAGATCAAGGAGAGCGCCGTGCGGCGGGGACGAGACCAGCTGCGCATGCAGCAGATCTCGCAACCCTCCTCCTCCTCCTCCTCCTCCTCCTCCTCCTCCTCCTGCGCCTCCCCCTCCTCCTCCTCCTCCTCCTCCTCCTTCTCCTCCTCGTCCTTCTCCTCCTCCTCCTCCTCCCCCTCCTCCTCCTCCTCCTCCTCCTCCTCCTCCAACTCCTCCCCTTCCGTCGCACTCCACCAGACATCGGACGTAGTCGGGCTCGCGCAGCTCGGGCGTCGGACCGACGCCCGTCGCGAGATTGCCGAACTGAGGCCGCCCAGCGGGCACTCCGAGTGGCGGATCACCGCCGGCAGCCGCCCAGGGGCGGCGTGCCCTGGCTGCGGCTGGCACGCTGGGAAGATAGCGTGCAACATCGACCTCCGATCCGAAAGCCGCACTATTGACTACCTACCAGACTATCCCAACCCAACCCGAAGACCCGAATTTCGGGTTGGGGGGGGTACGGGTTCCATATGTGTTTTCTCGATGTTCCCCCACCCCCCCAACTGGAAATGGAGGGCAAATTGAGGCCTTCGGGTTGGGTTGGGGTGGTTTGGTGGGTGGTGAGCTATCATCGGGCGCGCGCCAGCGTAGATTAGGGTCAGGTCGGGCACGTCCCCCCTACAGGGGGATTGTGGGCGACAGATAGAAAAGACTCAACGCGTATCTCCAAAACTGTAACAGAAGAGGACTCGACAAAGGACTCCACAAATCGTCCCCAGCCTGAAAAAAAAACTATCTTGGAATATTCGTCCCGTAGAGGGACAGGCCCGGCTTACGATTAGGGGGCTGTGGACCTGGCTCGAGGGGGGCCAGATCCACGGATCAGGGAAGGACTCCACAAATCGTCCCCGCCTTTGTTACTATATTTGGAATATTCGTCCCGAAGAGGGACAGGCCCGGCTTACGAGGCTGGACCTGGCTCGAGAGGGGCCGTGGACCTGGCTCTCAGGAGCGGCCAAGAGGGGGGTGTCCAAGAGGGGGGGGTGCAAATCATGACCGGCGGCATGTGCGCGGCCCAGCGGCGGGGCCGGGGACGTAATGAAATAAGAAGAGGCGCCATGAAATCTGAGGAAAAATCATGGCCCGCGCCATGATATCCCCCCCCCCCTAGTCATCACCCCCCTCTTTTCCGCCCCCGAGGCTCGAGGGGGCCAGATCCACGGATCCGGGAAAGCGCCCCCCCCCTCAAGGGGAGGCCGCGTCGCCGCCTCGCTCGGCCACGCATCAGGCGCGCCGAGGACGTGCGGCACGGCGGGGCCCGCCGCCCGCCCGCGAAGCCCGCAGCCGTGCTCACGCCTCCTTGACGGGAGGGCGGGAGGGGGAGGGAGGGGGGGGAGGGGGGGGGAGGGAGGGAGGGGGCCACCTGTGAACCCTACCCCATCCCCCACGATTTCTGAGGGGGCGGGTGGGGTTCACTTCGCTCGGGAGCTCCCGAACGAAGGGAACCCCGCCCTCCCCCTCAGAACTCGTGGGGGGTATGGGGCAGGGTTCACAGGTGGCCCCCTCCTGACGGCCCGGTGCGGGCAGCCCCCCCTGCGAGGGACCCGTGCGCGCGCGCCGTCCTCCTGCCCTCGGCAAGCGGCAGGGCCGTGTGCGTCACCGTCTCCGAAAAAAAAAAAAAATCGTCCCTGGAGAGGGGGAGCGGCAACAAAAAAAAAACACGGCGACCGGAAACGGCAGCAGAAACGGCTCCAGGATTGGAGCCGGAGCGGGAGCCCGCAGAAGAACGGCGACGGAACCGGCAACACAAAACGGCAAAACGGGACCGGCGAAAAAAAAACGGCAGAACGGAGCGGGTAAAAAAAACGCCCCGTCGTTTCCAGGGCCCACCAAGCCCGAGTCTTGCGTCTCGCTGACGTTGGCCAGAGTGGCCTTTTGGGTGCACGGCTTTCGGATGGGCGCCGGAGGGGCCCCGAGTCCAGGCACGCAGGCCACGATCGGCAGGCCGCGCACCACAGGCCACTGCTGCCCGCCTGGTGCCCCGAGGGCCCATCGGTCGCCAAGGGCAGGAGCCCCTCCGGTGCGCGCGATGCCCACGGCGGACGAGGACGGCGGGCCGGCCGCGAGCCGAGGGCGCCCCCTGTCGCGTGCCATCTTGCCAGCGCCAGCGGCCCTGGCCGCCCTCGCCGTCTCCCTCCTGACCGTTCTCTCCGCTGGCTATCTTTATGATAGCAAGAAATGGTACGGCGAACAATACGAATACGAATCATCATCTGAAGAATGCGAATGGTAATCATACTACGAATGGCAAAATGACCATACTAGGAATTATAATAATAGGAACGAGCATACTTACATGAAGACGAAGAATAAGAAGAAACAATAACATACGGATAATAATGGTGATACGAAGAAGACGAATCATAAGAAAAAACAAAACACACAACATGAATGCGATAAACATAACTTGTTGGCGCTACGCGGTGGTTTCTTGGATTTGGCCTGGACCCCCCTCCCCGGCTCGCGGAGCGCGCCAGGGGCGGCGCCAGAGGCGCCGCCCGGGGGGGCCCAGCGCGGATCCAAGAAATCCGCGCGGAACGCCAACAATTTCTGTTCATGGTGCTTTCTCTTCTCTTCGACCCCACCGACCGTCCTCTCCGCCCCCTGGATGAATTGATCGGTCCGGGACAGCCCCCGCGGGCGCCTCGGCGCGAGAGGAGGCCCCAGAGGCTGCCCTTCCGCGGCAGCTGCGTGCTCCACGCCACCTCGGGCAAGGGAGCGCGGGCCCCTCGGGGGGTTGGGCGGGGGGGAGGGGGCGACAGCGAGAAGAGATGAAGGGAGGGAGCGAGGAAGGGAACGAGGGAGGGAACGAGAGTAGCGAGGGGGATGATGGTGGGAGGGGGGAGGGAGGAGGGAGGGAGCAAGCGAGGAAGGGAGCGAGGGATAGCGATGGGGGTAGTGAGGGAGGGAGCGAGGGAGGGAGCGAGGGAGGGAACGAGGGAGGGATATCGAGGAGGTCGGGAGGAGCGAGGGATGGAACGAGGGTGCGATATCGAGGAGGTAGGGAGGGAGGGGAGTGCACTTAGGACATGTGCAGACAGGGTGGGAGTGTCCGAATAGGGCCGGGAGGGGAGGGAGAGAGCGACGGACAGCAAGGAAGGTGGTCCTGGCTGTCTTGAGCTCCTTACATCAGGCGTAGCTAGTCCAGCGAGGTCCTGGGTAACCGTGCTAGGTCTTGGATCCACCCCCAACACGGGGAAATGGAGTATTTCCCCAATCAGTGCTTGCACCGAAGGGGTCCTAGCGGAAATTGAAAGCTTTGGCGAAAATGTCCCGCCGGTTTTGAGGGTCAGCTGGGTTCCCAGGTTCCCGGTTCTGGATTCCCCTGGTTATTGGTTCTGGGCCGATTTCGGTGGCTTCCGGGTTCCCTGGTTCCCAGGTCCCAGGTCGATCTCCTTATCGATCTCCTTATCGATCCCACGGTTTATCAAACCATCAACTGACTTGGGTTTTTCTCTGGAGTATTGCTCTCGGGAGCTGGATGGCGCCTGGCCCGCCAGCTCCCCCAGCGGCGTAGCAGGAGAGGCAGCTCGGAGACTCCCCGCAGTGTGGTGCATGTGGGGGGAGGGGGGGGGGAGGGGGCGGGTGTGACAGGCTGGGAGCGCCTGCTCAGGGGGCTCGCCTGGTCGACGTGCCTTGCAAGCACGGGACGGTAGTAGGAAGAGAGAGAGGGAGAGAGAGATAAAGAGAGAGAGAGAGGGAGCCACCTCAGAGCGAGAGAGGAGGGGGAAGAGGATGAGGAGCGACAACGGGGACGGCGAGGAGAAAGGGAGGGACGGCGGAGGGACAGGAGAGGAGCGATGGAGGCGGAGGGGGAGCGGGGGATGGCGAGGAGGGAGGGCGGAGAGAGGGAGGGAGGAAGAGATGGAGCCAGGGACAGCGAAGAGGGAGGGAGGGGAGGGAGGGAGGGAAAAGAGGAGGCCCAGGAGGGCTGGCATGGCAGGGAGGACGAGTGGAGGCCACCCGGAGGACAGGGCCTCCTGGCCTGGTGGGGCGGCGCCCCGTGGGGGCGCGGGCGACCGACGACGACTCCACGCGTGGCTGCACTCCGCCCAGCTGGGTGACCGAGGAGAGAGAGACGAAGCAGCGAAGAGGAAATCGAGAGGAAAAAAAACCTATGCACATGCACCGATTCTGGCCGAGCCACTCCTGAGCCCAGGATCGGTGCGCACGCCCTCCTGCCTTGGCCAGGGAGGCAGATGCACCGATCCTGGGTCAGGGATGGGCCTTGCCAGGATCGGTGCATGTGCATAGTTCCCTTCGCCCGAAAAGCGGGATCCACCAAAGGGGGGGTGACCCTGAAAGGGGGGGCACGAATTCGATCCGCCGGTGCGCCGAGCTGCCGCAAACACGTGCCCCTCGCATGCCCCACCTGTCGGCGACTACCGGGAGCTGCCGGCGGCGGGGGGGCATCTGTTTTGTGCGGTTCGGTACGCAAAACGATCAAACGCACACACGCACACAGTCTGGGGCACACACACCCTTTGCGGGATCCCGAGGGAAACCAGAAACGCGGAGAGGGAACGAAAGAGGAAGGCGGGGGAGGGCGGAGGGGAAGGAAGAGGAGGAGGAGTGGAAACGATACAAGCCCTATACCAAGCGAGGGCCCCACCACAAGGAAGGTGAAAAGACACAACGAAGCGACACAACAATGCGACTCATACCAATCACGACGGAACAACTCCTTTGGTAGTCGAAGGCAGGATGCTGGGCTGGCACGGTGGCAAGACTTGCCGCAGGCAGCTTTGTAAAAGATACGGTGTTAATGCCTGGGAACTGGATTGGCACTGACAACGGCAGATCTGTGACCGTTTTCAACGAGTTGACTCTGGAACATGAAAACGCTGAGCGGCTCGCCAGAACAGGAAAGACACGGCGTCGGAATCGGCACTGAGGCAACAAACACCACAACATAACCTGACATGAAAAGCTACGGAACCGGACCACAACACAGAACAACGAAACCGACGCGAAAAACTGCCCCGTCGTTTCCAGGGTCCGATAAGCTCAGGGGCTCACGGAGTTGGCCACGATAATTAGCCTTTCAGTCTTCCTAACAGCTGGCGATGCTGCTGCCAGTGGTGGGGGAACTGGGTGGCAACTTTTGCTCCATCACTTCGGAGATGGATGAGGAGGAGCTCACACGCCCACTTCATGGAATGAAAAGGCGTGAGCCCCGAGCCAGAAGGCATAGCAAGCTGGCCATCCGCAAGAGCTCTTGGAGAGATGTGGCCCTGGTGTGTGAGCAGGGAGACACACCCTGCTCTCGCAAGCTCATCTTCATAACGTGCTCTGAAACTGCGCGTCCAGACTGACGGAATTCAGCGCTCGATCTAGTCAGGAGGTTGCCGTGACATGTCTGGCTCGAAAGCAGGAACAAGGGAAACTCCGTAGCCGCGCGCCGGTTTGGAACGTATCGACTCTAGAATTGCTCCGTGGTCCTGCACAGTGTTAGCGCTCGCTGCGGAATTGATCGAATCTGGAGCTGACCTATTGCAGCCAACGCTGACGCTGGACAGGCCATGCCAACAGGTGTATTCGATTCGCCTACCTGGATCTGTCCATATCTGGTGGAGGGGGGGAGGGGCGGAGGAGCGAGGGGGACGGGGAGGAATAAGCCTACGTCCCACACGCGCGCTGGCATCACAAAGCGAGGCCAGGCGACGGTGATATAGGAGCGCGACGCCGGAACACTGCCGTGACTCATGGCCCGACAGCGCTGCAGCTCGCAAGCTAATTCCAACCTTAGTGTTAAGTCGGCCCTGTCCCCCTACAGGGGAACTTTGTGCGAAAAAATTAGAGTACTCAAAAATATCCCAATCATTCCCCACAATAGTTAGCCAAAACAAGTGTTTGACTATCTTGGGATATTCCTCCTGCAGAGGGACAGGCCCGACTTAACCTCAGTGCGCACACCTGGGAGCAGCGTGAGGTCTGCCGGAAGTCCGGCCTGAGCGTTGGGCACGAGAGAAGGCCGAGAGAAGAACACCTCATACTCAGCATCACTCTTGATGGGCCTGGTCTTCCACCACCACCACCACCACAAGTTGGAGAGGGAGGGGGTCCTTCTCCTCCTCCTCCTCCTCCTCCTCTTCCTTCTCCTTCTCCTCCTCCTCGTTCTCGTCCTCGTCCTCCACGGCCCTCCCCCCTCCAACTTGTGGTGGTGGTGGTGGAAAACAGGCCCGTCGAATCTAACAAAGGGCGCGCGCGCGCGCTGCGAAGCCGACGTGAAAAGGAGGGCACCAATGGAGGCGCGCTGGTCGAGCTGTATGGCGCTGGCCGGGCCCCCACGCGGACCAGACGTGACCCGTGCGGCCTGAGGTGCGGGCCCTCCCTGGCTCCCGAGTGCCACGGAATCGCAAGACTGAAGTCGGGCGTGTTGTCCCCCCACAGGGGGATTGTCGACGAACAATAAGAAATACGAAAAGAAATACTCCCAAATGGTCAAAAGGTACTCCAAAAATGGTCCCCAGACAATGTTTGGACTATGTCTGAATATTCCCGCGGTAGAGGGACAGGCCCGACTTGACACAAGACTGCCCTGCGCCACCCTGTGGGCCCGCCGTGGCATCGCGGTGTTTTTCGTTTTCGTTTTGTTTTCGTTTTCCCTCGCTTTTGTCTCCAATCCGCCTTTGCTGCAAAACGAAATCGAAACGAAAACGGCCCACGAAATCACCAAAAACACGATTTAGGTCCAGCCCTGGTCGGCCACACGGGCCGCAGGGCAGGCGTAGGCCTGCAAGCAAGCTGCGCCGGGCCAGGCTGCGGTGCAGACACACACACACACACACACACACACACGCCGCGAACGGGGAAGACGACTGCAGCCGCGAGCCGGAGCCGAGGAAGCGCCGTTGCCAGGCGGGGCCCCGCGAGCACCAGGCCGAGCCGTGGGCCAGCGGCACGCCTGAAGAGGGCACTGGGGAGACCAAAAGTCGGGCCGGGCGAAAGGGGGGAATATCAAAGGGAAGGACTGAGAATCAGCTCACGGAGCTGATTTTGATGGCGCCTCCCGGCGCCGGGAGGCGGCCATGTATCGAGGAATGGGCCCCTCGGTGGGGCCGCAACCAGCTGCATGCAGCAAATTTCGTAACCCCCCTTTCCCAATCCCCCCCTTTCGCCCGGCCCGGAAAAGGTACCGCTGCCGCTACTCCCCAGATCTCCCCCGGGGTGCGTTCTGACCAGAATTTCGAGGCGGATCCAGCGGTGGCGACGAGGGCCTCCCAGGAGGCCGGAACAGGGGGAAGACGGGCGAGGGGTAGAGGCATGGGTACCTTTTCCTGCTCTGGGGTACGGGACGGGGGGCGACCTCTTTGCAACACTTGGGAGCTGGAACTACGCATGGCTGAACTCTCGCGCTGGGTACAGCTGCGATGAGGTCGGGCGTTTCCTCCTACAGGCGGAGCTTGGGCGAACAATAAAGAATAGCCAAACAATTTGCCCAAAAAGAACAAAAACAGTCAACAAATCGTGCCCAGACTATTCTTTCACTATTTTGAATATTCCTCCTGTGTGAAGCAAGGACCCCCCCTGTAAAGGGGCACGCCCGACTTACAATTACAAAGGACACGCGGAAGGGCCCCGCGCGCTGCCGACCGTGACTCCCCGCGCGGGCGAGCGGCCCTGCGGCCGGACCTCCTCCAGCGCGACGCCGCCGGCGCGGCTGGCTGCCAGCGGGCCGGGCCGCGCCGAGGGCCAGGTCGCGCCCGCGCTCGGGGCAGTCTGCTCGCACGGCCCGCTGGGGCCACCCTCCACTGCGCTCGGCCAGGGCTAGGTCGGGCTTGTCCCCCTGCAGCCGGATTTTGGGCGAAAAATTTCAACGTGCTTCCAGCAGACCCCCCAAATTGTCAAAGCAACAGAAGATATCCAGAGGTAGCCCCCAGACTATGTTTTGAGTATCTTTGAACATCCCTCCTGTAGAGGGACCGGCCCGACTTCAGGCCAAGGGCCAGTCGCACGGGCGCCGCCCTACCCGAGGTTGGAGAAGGCCAGCGACGAGAGGCAGATGAGCGCCGTCATGATGTAGATCTGGGCGCTCAGGGGCTCCGCCCAGCAGTCGGTGAAGGCTAGCTCGCTGGCCACGACGGTCAGGGCGAGGCCCACGCTCTTGGTGAGGTTCTTCATGCTGCTGGGCCGGTTTCCCAGCACCACCACCAGAATTGGAAGGGGGAAGGAGGCGGAGGCGGAGGCGGAGGCGGAGGCGGAGGCGGAGGAGGAGGAGGAGAAGGAAGAGGAGGAGGAGGAGGAGGAGGAGGAGGAGGAGGAGGAGGAGGAGGAGGAGGAGGAGGAGGAGAGGGAGGACCCCTCCAACTTCTGGTGGTGGTGGTGGAAAACGGGCCCATCACATGACCGTGGAGAACCTCTTCACCACAATGCCGGCCAGCCAGGTCGACACGATCTGGGCGGACAGCTGCGCGAAAGCCGCAGGGCCGAAGCCAAAGAAGAGGCCCCTCCCGCCAACCGTTGTCGGACCAACACCCTCGCAGTCCAGCGTGGTCTCCCGCCACCAGAGCTTATCCGCCCTGCTGGGGTCCCAGGCGCCGCCCTCTAGGACCGCCGGGACCAGGAACGCGGAGGCGATGCAGACCCAGACCCCGGAGATCTCCATCTGCACCCTCTGGAGATAGAACGGGGTCCTTAGAGGAAGAACAGACGCCATAAACATAAACTTTTGGCGCTCCGCGCAAATTTCTTGGATCTGCGCTGGCCCCCCCTCCCTGGCGCGCGGAGCGCGCCAAGGGCGGCTGCTGAGGCGCCGCCAGGGGGGCCCCGGCGCGGATCCGAGAAATCCACGCGGAGCGCCACGAGTTTATGTTCAGAAATTTTGTTCTTCGTCGAGTCCGGGGCTCCGCCTTGTAGCAGGGCTGGACCTAAACGGTGTTTTGGCGATTTCGTGGGCCGTTTTCGTTCGGTAAAGGCGAATCGAAGACAAAACGAGGGAAGACGAAGACAACACAGACACGAAAAACACCGTTTAGGTTCAGCCCTGCCTTGTAGAACTTCTCCGCCACGAGGGAGGCGATCACCGCCGCCAAAACGTAGCCCAGCACCAGCAGCAGGCCCAGCGCCGCGCTGCCCCCGGGCGGGGGCGGGCGGCCTCTCACGCGGCACTGCGCCGCGTGGCCCCCCGCGGCGGCTGGGCGGGGGTCGTAATCCAGGAAACACTCCTCGGGCACCATCGCCTTCAGATTCGAGGTCGTGACCAACTCCCGGGCGCTGGTCGCGCGAAAAAACAGGAACGTGCTGAGCGCGATGATCAGGAGGACGATCCAATGGTTGGAGCTGTACCTCTTTCCAAACGCACACTGGGAAAACAGCGCGGACAGCGGCAGCTGGAGCTGGCCTAGGACCTGGATGGTGCCCGCGTCCAGGTTCGTGCTGTAGGCCAGGATGTTCAGGATCATGCTGACTGCGAAGAGCGCACCGACCAAACCGAACTTCCACACAGCCTGCATGTCAACCATCGCCGCGAGGGCCCTGCCCAGGCCGTCACGCTGGACCCCCATGCCAAATCCAATCACGATGGACGCCGCAGCGTTCAGCAAAACCAGGGCGCTGCCCTGCACCTTGCCAGACCCGACTGCCACCTTGCTGGCGAGCGCCTTGGCAGGGGTGGATGCGACGTAGAGCGCGAGCAGACCCACTTGCATGGAGAAGCCGCGGAAGGTCTGGAGCCGGCTCAGCGCCTCGGGCTCGTGCTTGCCAAGGTCGTCCACGGCGTCCTCGGACAGCAGCGTCTTCTCCCTGATGCGCAGGATCGCCTCCTTGGCCCTCCTCCACCTGGCCTTCGGAGGGTCGAACACGAGCCGACACCTGGCCATCGCTCGGACGTCCATTTCCTGTTTTTTTAGGTTTCGTGCGTGGTTTTTTGCCAAATGATCAAGGATGCTCCTCGATGGTCCTCGCCGAAGGAAAAATGCACACGTCGGAGCGATGCCAAGGACAGCTCCCTCGCTGCGTCCTGACCCTGCTGCTTCCGAGACGGATCCAGCCGCGGCGACGGGGGCCCCCCAAGGAGGCCCACAGCGGCGACACCGAGGGAAGGCCATCGCCAGCGGCCCCGCATGCAGAAGTCGTCCGCTCCAGACTGGTCCCCACGCCCTGGACGGGTTCCCCTGGGGCCGTAGGCCACCCGAGGAGGGGAGGGCGAGGAAGGGGGAGGAGGAGGAGGAGGAGGATGGGAAAGAGGAGGAGGAGGAGGAGGAGGAGGAGGAGGAGGAGGGGGAGGAAGAGGAGGAGGAAGAGGAGAAGGAAGAGGAGGAGGAGGGGGAGGAAGAGGAGGAGGAAGAGGAGGAGGAGGAGGAGGAGAAGGAGGAGGAGGAGGAGAAGGATGAGGAGGAGGAAGAGAAGGACGAGGAGGAGATGGAGGAGAGAGGAGGAGGAGGACGGGCCGCCTGAGCCCTTCGGAGAAACTTCGCGCCCCCTCTCGGTGCACGTCCTCGCCCGCTTCTCGCGCTCCGACCGGCCGGGGAGACGAGGACCTGCACCGGCGCCTGGAAGCCGCCGAGACGAAGGCGTCTTCGTCGTCGTCGTCGACATCGGGATGGATGCCTCGTCTTAAGTCGGGCGTGTCCCCTACAAGCAGACTTGGGACGCCAAAAATACTCCAAAAGAGTCCTAAAACAGTCCCCATGCCATTTTTTTGACTATTTTCGAATCTTCCTCCTGTAGAGGAACAGGCCCGACTTACGCCTCGTCGTCGTCGGCATCGGCGCCGGCGTCGTCGGTACATCGGGGCGGCCTTGACGCGCAGCGTCACCCGCGGACGCAGCTGCTGCGGCGCGCTCTCCGCCTCGGGCGGGCGCTCGACCTCGAACGAGCCCATCTCCGCCGCCATGGGCGGACCGCGCCCGCCCGGGAAAGGGCGAGCGGAGGGGCCAGCGCACGCCAGTCTGGGCCAACATGGCTGCGGAGGAGCTCTCGACGATCGACTCCTCCTCCTTCCTTCTCCTCCTCATCCTCCTCCTCCTCCTCCTGCCTCCACCTCCTCTTCCTCCTCCTCCTCCTCCTTCCTCCCAGCCTTCCTTCCTTCCTTCCTTCCTTACATCCTTATTTCCTTCCTCCCCTCCTCCTTCCCTCCGGACCCCCTCCCTCCCTCCCTCCACTTCCGCCTCCGCCTCCGCCTGGTCATCCTATTCCTCCTCCTCCTCCACCTCCTCCTCCACCTCCTCCTCCCTCCTCCTCCTCCTCCCTCGTCCTCCTCCTCCCTCATATATACACATAAACTCAAACCACATACCAACACACTCAAAGCATAGTTTGTAAGTCCGAACAAGTCCTCCAACTATCCTTGGACTATTATTGAATACTCCTCCTGTGGAGGAACAGGCCCCCCGACTTCACGCTCACGGTGATGTTGGTCAACGGCGATGTTGGGAATCGGATGTTTGTGACACCAAGCTCGCGCAGAACAGATTGTAGGAAATCACGGGCCACACGTTCCTTCCTTTTTCAGATGTGCGAGCGCATTTTTCAGATGTGCGAACGCATCGAGCGAGAACGACGTAGCGAATTACAGGAAAGCACGAACCACGACGTCCTACGATGGGTTTGACCACGAACCAATCCCACCTACAATGCCGAAGCCTACATCGCCGTTGCCTAATTACCTGGCCGTTGGCGCGCCTACGGACCTGGCCGTCGCTGCATGCGGATACTTGGGGAAAGAAAAATCATTTCTTCAAGCCCTAGCGGCCCCCTTTTCTGCAGCCCTCGCTGGCCCCCCATCTCCGGCGTTGGACAAGCTAACCTCCCTTTACTAAACCTCCCGTTGGTGAAAACCGCCTAGGACCGAAACCGACGGACCTGGGCCCGCACACACGACGGCCGCGACGCCCTCTCGCGAACCGAAAACGGCCAACTCGCTAATCGACGCGTCGGGGTAGGGGGTCTATCAACCTCCGACATCTTTCCATAGAGGAACGAAAAGTGGCATGAACATAAAAACTCGGAGGTCCGCGCGGATTTCTCGGATCGGAGCTGGAGCCCCCTCCCTGGCGCGTGGAGCGCGCCAGGGGCGGCGCCGGGGGGGCTCCCGATCCGAGAAATCCGCGCGGACCTCCGAGCTTTTATGTTTATGTCACTTTTTGTTCCCCTATTCCAGATCCTCTCGCGCGCTGCTCGCACGCTCCTCCGGCGTGGCGGCCCGGGGGGATGAGAAAAGGTTCCGCGCGGGGCCGTGGCTGCCGAGGTGGCCCGCAGCCGTGCGGGAGCTGCCGGAGCGCGGCGCGTGCAGCTGCAGGAGGTGCGGCGCGTCACTCACGTCGGGGGCGCGCGCAAACATTAAGTCGGACCTGTCCCCCTACCAGGGGATTTTCGACGACAAATAAAACATACCCGCAAAATAATCAAAAAATGATACAAAGATAGTCTGAGGACTATGTTTCGAGTATTTGTTGACCTGTTTGGGGCATTTTTCGAGTATGCTGTATGTTTCGTCGAGAATCCTCCTGTAGGGGGACACGCCCAACTTAACGCAAACATGGATTCGCGATCCATTTTGGACGCCCGAAATGGGTACGGAAAAAATTGGCACAATGCCCAACAACACATGTTGTCCCAAACCAACGGCGGCCGCTGTTGGGCAGGCGGCCTTCTGCCTCGAATGGACACAGGCCGCGGCGGCGTGGACAGCGAACCCTGCTCCAAAGGAACAGGAACTGCTGTTGGGCATGGTACCCATTCTTTCCGTACCCAGCCCAGATCCAGATCCATGGGTTTGGGGCACGGTCGCCCAGCCCATGGACCGGGGGAGGTGACCTCCCCAGAGTGTGGCCGGGTGCGGCCTCTCGGCGGCGGTCACCTGCGATCTCTCGTGGAAGCGGGGCCCGCCGCCAATCCACGCCCCCTTGATCCATGTATGCGATCGCCGGAGAGAGGGAGGAGGGAGGAGGAGGAGGAGGAGGAGGAGGAGGAGGAGGAGGAGGAGGAGGAGGAGGAGGAGGAGGAGGAGGAGGGGGAGGAGGAGGAGGAGGAGGAGAAGGGAGGAGGAGGAGGAGGAGAGGAGGAGAGGAGGACGAGGAGGACGATCAATTCTTGCGATCGCCTGATCATAGGGGGGCCACATGCGAACCCTACCCCTGCCCCCCAAGATCACTTCGCTCGCAAGCTCCCGAGCGAAGTGAACCCCGGCCTCCCCCTCAGAAATCGTGCGGGGTAGGGGTAGGGTTCGCATGTGGCCCCCCAACTTACGTACTGCTCCCTGGATACTGTAGACGCGACGGGGCGGCGATGGGGCTGCAGAGGGTCCTGCCTTGGTGCGAGAGCGAGGGCATAGGTGCGTTCTCCGGCTCCTCCCTGGGGCTTCGGCACCCCTCCCGAGAGATCGTCGGTGCGATGGGATCCCCCTGCGGGGGTTCAATGTAGCATGACGAAGAACACAAGCGAATCAGCTTCGAACATAGTTTGTCGGGGAAGGATCTCGGAAAGGACGATCACAAAAGCTAAATGACGAAGACGACACCGCCCGCGAGCAACCCCAAGCACAACACGAATCATCGCCCAAAACGCTGCTGCGCGACAACCCCCCTCGGACATCTCTGAACCGTCACCCCACATCACGAGGAACACGTCTCCCTTGAGCAGGGACCGGCCGTCCCGGCACTCCTACAGGCCTACCACGACATGTTCTTAGAACTCAGAAATTTTCTAAGAACAGAAACAACATTATTTCAATATAAACCTGATGTTTTCAGATAGGAATTACCAGCCTCAACCAGAGAATGTTCTAAGAGGCAGGCAGCCTTCCATCTGTAGAAGGCGCTGTAAGGAGGCTGCTCCTTGTAAGGCGCCGGCCTTACATCTGCACATAAAGCCCCCGCCTTCTAAGCGGCAGGGGTGCTTTTAAAATAGGATAAAAAAAACATGACATAACAATAAAAACTCAGAGGTCCGCGCGGATTTCTCGGATCGGCGCTGGGGCCCCCCGGCGGCGCCTCTGGCGCCGCCCCTGGCGCGCTCCGAGCGCCAAAGAGGGGGGCCCCAGCGCCGATCCAAGAAATCCGCGCGGACCTCAGAGTTTTTATGTTTATGTCACTTGTTGTTCCCCTATGAAAAGACCTCCCCCCTCTCCCCACCCCCCTCTGCGCGTGGCCGAAATGCTCGGCTCCCGAGCTGTAAGCACAGGACCCCGACAAAAAGCTCCCGGCCAACGCGAGGGCGGGGGCCGCGAGACGTCCCCTGAGCTGTGAAAGTCGGCGCTGCGGGGCGGCCGGGCCCCGCGGCAAAACAAATTCCTGAACTTTTGACTTTAATGAGATGGTTGAACTCAAAAGCGCTTCTTTGTTATCTTTTGAATTCCAAAAACCACTTTTGGAATTCAAAGACGGGTTGCCGGCGACGATTCTGCGCCAACGCGGCGATGTTGCCTTATGCTGCTCGCCAAGAGCTGGTGTGTGAGCTGACGCCCCCCGAGGCCTCTCCTGCGGCGCTCTCGCCGCCCGCGTCCGGCGCGCCGCCGTGCACGCCAGCATCTACGAAAGGGGCCCAGGCACACACAAATAGATACACACAGAACCCAGGTATTCCCAATTCCTTCCCATATTTTTTGGATGTTCGTCTTCCCCCCCACTTCCCAAATTTCCCCATCTTTCCTGGGGGATCGACGATTGATTGTGTCAGTGTGCTTTTTTTCCCTCCTGCATCCAGGAGGCTGCAGAGAGGACGACGACGGCGACGGCGGCGGCGGAGCCCCCTCCCTTGGATCGAGAGAGGGCAAGCATGTACCAGCGACGCGTGTATTCGCGGCCTGTGGCCGTCTTCGCATAGCCAGACCAAGGACAGAACACACACACACACATATATACACACACACCCTTCGAAGGCATGAGTCTCTCCGCCGGCCAAAACAAAACATCCAAGGGTACCCTCCCCAGGATGTACGAGGACATCCAACACACGTAGAACGATGGGGCACGCTCCCCGAACTGGTCTCGATCTTACGCATTGGTCCGACCGCGCCGCATCGGCACGCTGATGCGTGGACTATGACGCGCAAACATCGGCAGCGAGCGAGGGGGGAAAGTGAGAAGGAGAAGGCCCTCTCAGAAGGCGACGGGACTCCTCAGAAGCCCTCACGCCTTGCGAGAAGTTCAGTGGTGTCTTCAGGGAAGGCTTCATTTGAAAAGTACGCGGAAGGCTGGGGGACTTCCGAGCCTCCTCCTCCTCCTCCTCCTCCTCCTCCTCCTCCTCCTCCTCCTGCTCCTTCTTCTCCTCCTCCTCCTCCTCCTGCTCCTTGACCTCCTCCTCGTCCTGTCCTCCTCCTCCTCCTCCTCCTCCTCCTCCTCCTCCTCCAGCTGCTGCTGAACAAAGCTCAAAATCCACGGACCCCGTGCGCGCCCGACTTGGGCCCCATCCGCGCGACGCGTGCGCACGAGGAGAGGCCACCCCGGAGCTCCCGAGCTCGACCCCGAGGTGCCCATCTCTCACTGCACCGAACTCGCAGACGTGCTGAAGCGGATCTTCGCATGGATTTCTGCCAACGCAAAGCCCCCCCAAAACGGCGAGCGAAAGACGAAGTGCATGCCACGTGGATGTTTTGTAGTCTTCATTCCTGGCCCCCCAAAGGACCGCACGAGATGCACTTCGAAATCATGAAACGACATTATCCAGGACACTCCTGGCCCATTCTTTTGCGAGTATCGTTTAACCGATCCCCATCCCCAGCGGCGTGGCCTGGGCCCCACTGGCCGATTTACCCCCCTAGATGGGGATATAGGCCGTTCCCTTCGGGTTTCGAGGGGTGTATCCCCACCTGGGGTGGTAATTTGGTGGGGGTCTCGAAGGGGATGGAGATGGGGATGGGGATCGGTGAAACGATACCGATTCTGTCCTTCCGAA